TGCAGTCTGCCTGAATGAGCATCGAAATGCCTCTAACAGAGACGATGTAAGGTACGCCTGTGTCCTCCACAGAGACTCCACGGGGCATTTGATGAACTGGAATGAGGCACAACTCGTTCTCACCGAACCAGACCTCAGACGCTGACGGTGCCTAGAAGCCTCACTAATCGCCATCACCGACACTATAGAACGCAACACTGGAAACTACAAAATTTCAAAAACATTGGCATACATGATACTTAAGCAGCACCAACCCAACAACACAGGAGTCACATGATTTCATCGTCTACCCGTCCTCATCATAGGTAGAGGTTGTTTTGATAAGGACCTGCCTCGCATGGGCCAGTAGGCCTTCTACAGTGTTCCTTCATTCTTATGTTCTTATGACATTCCTCAGGTCACGTGTGTCACACCTCACTCTCCGCCTATATATATAATGTCTTTCTTCCTCTGTATGTTAGAAGTGATCAAGGTCCCAGGACCGAAACGTTTTCTAATAAATATGTCATAGTGTTTGCTTACGTGTCTTTCTAAACCAACTTGTCGGTATTTATTACCAAGGTTTATACCACGTATAAAGATACACAACATATCCCTCCAAACTGCCAATATCCCAAACCCCTCCTTTAAAGTGCAGGCATTGTACTTCCCATTTCCAGGACTCAAGTCCGACTATATGAAAATAATATTAATAATATTAATAATATTAATAATAATATTAATAATAAATAATAATATTATTATTATTAGTAGTATTAATTTTTTTTTTTTTTTTTTTTTTTTTTTTTTTTCAACAAGTCGGCCGTCTCCCACCGAGGCAGGGTGACCCAAAAAAGAAAGAAAATCCCCAAAAAGAAAATACTTTCATCATCATTCAACACTTTCACCACACTCACACATTATCACGTTTTTGTAGAGGTGCTCAGAATACAACAGTTTAGAAGTATATACATATAAAGATACACAACATATCCCTCCAAACTGCCAATACAAACAAACATTAATATAAACATTGCAATATCAGAATAAAAGCCAGAAAATGGAGAACAGTTCCAATTTTGAATCTTTACAAATATTTGAGACCAGTTCTTTAATAATTCAGAGCAAAATATGCAGTCTTAAAAAAATTATTAAATATAAACATTACAATATCAGAATATGACCCAGATCCACAGAGAACATTTCCAGTCTTCAATCTTGAATCCTTACAAATATTTGAGGTAACTATGTGATAAGAACATGAGAGGACAGAAGAATATCTAATATTACTCACTGAATCTACAAATAAAGTTTGACCAGACTGCACCATTTATAAGCATCAATGATAGCTTTTTATTTTTATTTTTTTTTTTTTTTTTTTTTTTTTTCAACAAAAAAAAAAAAAAAAAAAAAAGCACTAAACCCACAAGGGTCGTGAATTGCTATACATAAAGGCATACGAAAAGAATATTTTTCTACAGTTACCCCCCAGTGTTTGACTAGAGAAAACATAATTCTTCCGACACTACCTACACAGCTGCTTTGTAAACAAATCTCATATTTACGTAAATTTTTATTCTGTGAGTGTATGTATCATGTTTATATGCTATGTAATGAGTTTCATATATAATTTTGAGGAAAATATCATAGATGGATTAATGAAAATGCCTATATTGATGTAAAATAAGACATTTAGTGTGCCCAAGAGTGATTATTATTACATAGTATTGGCGTCATGAGGGACTAGTACCGAACTTGCACACGAAAATCACTCACTACGAAAGCAAAAGACTTGGCAGACGATGCACCATCCCCCCAATGAAAAGCAGGGGTGTCACTAGCACGTTAAGAGACCATACAATAAGTGTCAGGGGCCCGAGACTGTTCAACTGCCTCCCAGCACACATAAGGGGGATTACCAACAGACCCCTGGCAGTCTTCAAGCTGGCACTGGACAAGCACCTAAAGTCAGTTCCTGATCAGCCGGGCTGTGGCTCGTACGTTGGTTTGCGTGCAGCCAGCAGCAACAGCCTGGTTGTTCAGGCTCTGATCCACCAGGAGGCCTGGTCACAGACCGGGCCGCGGGGGCGTTGACCCCCGGAACTCTCTCCAGGTAAACTCCAGGTAATGTGTACCTGCACACCAGAACAGTGTGTAAGTATATTTAGGTACAGGTACACATAAGTATAATTATCAGAGCACATATAAAATATGCAGTAACTTTAAAACACTTGAAATTTTGGAAAGTTTCCTGGCATAATAGATGTGGTCATGGAAATTGTAAACAAACCGGGTGGGGGGCGCCGTATTTAAAAGACCACTTGCCATATAGCAAATTTTGGTCATAATTTGACATCGCCGTATTGGCGGAACGCCGTAAGGCGAAACGCCATAAAGCGGGGCCTTACTGTACATACATGTATATTATATAGATAAATTAAAATTGAAATAAACATTTAAAATAACATTTACTTACCTTTATTGAAGAGATTTGCTGGCATCTGGAAGATAGGGAGGAGGAAAGAGGGAGGACTTATTGTTTGGAAGGGAAATCCCCTTCCATAAAGACTAGGTAACAAGTCCTTATCTGGGGTTACTTTACTTTTGTCTTTAAGGCCACTAGGACAGCTGAGAGTCATGACCCCTGCTCACAAAATAACTGTCAAAATGCTCTGTTTTTGGATCCTTAAGAACTTCCTGAAGTGGACAAGTTTTGTCACTGAAATGTGCAGATATGGCTTGTTTCAGCTTGGTCAGGGTGATACTTTTTAACAAAAGTTTGTAACTCATTCCACTTTGCACACTTTTCACAGTTACAATTAATGGCCCAAGGCAACAGCCAAAACGCGAGACAAAATCTGGCCAAAAAAAGTGGGTGAAACCCGAAGCAGCTAAATCCCAGGGCGGCCAAAACTCGGGATTTCATCGTATACTAAAAATGTTATAAATGGTGCAAAGGTGACATTAAAAAATATCAAAGATGGTTGACACAAACCCACTACCATTATAGAATGCTCCTCGCTTAGCGACGATTTTGTTTACCGACAAGGTCTTAGGAACGGAAATCCATTGTTAAGTGAGGAGAGGCTGTATAGCAATTAATTGTAATTTATTCATTGAAAACAAGGACAAACATTTCTTGTTAAAAAAATACACTACAGTAACTACTGTCAAACTGAAACTGCAATATCTGAATTCAGAACTAATATTCCAATTCAACATATTAATTTCAATCCAGGTTAATTTAGAAGGCTACCTACTGATATTCTTTACAACACTGCTAGAACTGCATATACTGAAAAGGGTATTGCATATACTGCATATAAAAGGCAAGCTGACTGATATGCCCCATCAATGATGATCAATGTTTCAACATCACTTTAACCATTATTAATCAACACACCAAACTTACTGTATAATATAAAGTGTAAAAACAATTTGGCAGCAACAATATTATGGGACATTTCTGGCCATGTCTCTTATTACCCAAAAATACAATAGTGTATCAAATCATATATACAGGAAACAAGCCACAGAATGAGTGAGGATTGAACCCATGGGTTCAATACCCACCCGTTTGCAACTGTGTTATTACAATTTTTTTTTTTTAACAAGTCAGCCGTCTCCCACCGAGGCAGGGTGACCCAAAAAGAAAGAAAATCCCCAAAAAGAAAATACTTTCATTATCAATTCAACTCTTTCACCTCACTCACACATAATCACTGTTTTTGCAGAGGTGCTCAGAACACAACAGCTTAGAAGCACATACATATAAAGATACACAACATATCCCTCCAAACTGTCAATATCCCGAACCCCTCCTTTAGAGTGCAGCTATTGTACTTCCCATTTCCAGGACTCAAGTCCGGCTATATAAAAATAACCGGTTTCCCTGAATCCCTTCACTAAATATTACCCTGCTCACACTCCAACAGATCGTCAGGTCCCAAATACCATTTGTCTCCATTCACTCCTATCAAACACGCTCACGCACGCCTGCTGGAAGTCCAAGCCCCTCGCCCACAAAACCTCCCTTACCCCTTCCTTCCAACCTTTTCGAGGAAGTCCCTAAATTATAAACAAACTGCATCCCTCGTGTTCAACTTCTAAATTACAAAATAACTGTACAAAAGATGGATATGTTTCACATATGTCTGTACTGTTGATTGGCTGTTGTAAATAAGTACAGTAAACCCTTTGCTTTAACGAATTTCAGGAATACAAAACAAAATTTGCAGGGTCAATTAATTCAAAAACAGACAAAATCTACTTGCTACAGTATTGTCAACTATCATTACAATGACAGCAAAACAATCTCATCTCTGTCCACTCCAGTCGCCTTTACCAGTCCTCTGCTTTCTCATCCTTTGTCCACTAAATCAAGGATTTACTGGTTTCCGAGAGCTTCGCTTGTAAGAGAAGGATGACGAAATAATCCACTGTATAAGGAATTTCCCATATGAAGATAGACTTTGAGAGCCTTGAACCTTCACTATCTTCAGAGAAGTAGAATGAGAGGAGACATCATTGAAGTATATAAGTGGATGATGAGCATAAATAAAGGTGATAAAAATAAAGCACTGAGAATACTGAATCAAGTAAAACCAGAAACAATAACTTTAAATTAGATAACTTTATATTTAGAAAGAACTTAGGTATGTATTTATTTTCAAACAGAGTTGTCAATGCATGGAACAATATGCTGTGTAGGGTGATAAAAACTAGCACCTTGGGTAGCTTTAAAAAGAGGCTGGACAAATGTACAAGTGAAAAGGGCTGGGTTTGATTAGTACCTCAGGTACTGAAGCTAATTCTTGAGTAGCTTTGGGAAAAGTTTGGATAAGTGGGTGGGTGGGAAAGGCTGGTTTAGAGAAGGCCTTGCCTAGTATGGGCCAGTAGGCCTGTTGCAGTGTTTCTCCCTTCTTATGTTCTTACGTTTGTAACTTGAGGACCTAGTGCATAGCTCGCACATAATCTGCTACTCTCATCACCCCCTCCCATCTCCACATATACATACTCACACTCTGAAGTTTTGATATAGTTGCTGGCAGCTCAGAGAGACCATTATTGGCCACATTGAGAGTATGGAGCTGTTGTAAGCGGGTAAGAGGTTGCGGCAGTACTCTCAGCTTGTTGTGTGACAGATCTAACAATCGCAGATGAAGCAGAAGACTGAAGGAGTTGGGAAGACTGGTGATTTGGTTATGACTGATATTGAGAGATCGTAGATGTGGTATGTGAAGACTCAGCTCCTCTGGAATCTATAATTAATGAGTTAAAATAAGCATAATGTACAACATACTATTGTATTTTTATCTAGTTACTGTATATCTTTCCCTATAATGAACATCAATCTAAGTACACTCATCATATCTATACAGTAGTACTGGCCATATAAATCCTAGGTTAAATTTTATATAACTTATTATATAAAACAACTAGAATTTTCAAATTATGTATGAAGGCGATGTATAAACTTACTTTCACAGGAAAAAAAAAAAAATGTAGGGAACAAAGTACTATTCAATTTTACTTCTTGTCAGTATTTACTATTTATTATTATTATTATAAGTAAGTGGGGAATGGGAAACAATAAGGTTTAATTTGAGGAAGTGGAAGGCAGCTCCAATTCCCTGGATTAAGAGCCCTTCACCATCATCTTAGTATGACCTATGCAGGGTTGTCTACATTCTGGAATACCCTACCTGAGAACTCTAGAACTGCAGACACATTCATCACCTTCAAAACTACCATTAGAAAACATCTTATCTCCCTGATACACCCCGTCAACTAACTTCACGAATACCACCTGGTGGTTCACACTTACAATCGCTCACTCACTTGACCATAAACAGAAATATTAATCTCAGTCTTAAAATAATGAATCCTGTGATACTCCAATACTGAAACTATATACTGTGCCAAAACAAAAGCATTCACATTGCTAAACTCACAAACTAGTATTTAGTCACTTAGCCATAATACCAACTTACCTCATAATTTGCAATATTTTACAATTAAGAATAAAACTAAGTATGCCCGAAATGCCAAGCCATGCTAAGCGTTCTAGTGGTACACTCTGTAATCACAATTTTACTACATGTAAACCAAACAATAACCAAATTTCTGTAAACTCAGCATTGTAATCCTTATAGAGAATAAACTTTGAATTGAATTTGAATTTGAATTTGAATTTGAATTCAAAATATACATTTTCTAAATTTAGTGCTGCATTACATTTTTCTATTATGTAGCACATATGGATATACAGTCTAAGTTCATTTTATAAAAAAAAATTAAATGAAATTCTGCAATATAATTCAACATGTTAATGAATTTTTGTCAGACAAAATAACTTGTTGAAGATGAAACTACTCACCTCATTGATGAAATTAAAACTAGCATTTACGCTCTCATACATAGAGACAGTGTTGTAATATATTTCCCATGGCAGAGCAGACAGACAGCCTTCAATAAATTCCCCAGATGTGTGCTAAAAAAAGAAAGATAAAAACACAGGAGTAACAATATAATTTGTAGAGTGAATAGTTACTAATTATGTAACTATTAATTTTTTTAACACATCGGTTGTTTCCCACCGAAGCAAGATAATTGTACAATGCTCCCAAACAAGCAAGATAATTATACAATGTTCCTAAGCAAGCAAGATAATTATGCAGTGTTCCCAAACAAGCAAGATAATTATGCAGTGTTCCCAAACAAGCAAGATAATTATGCAATGCTTCTAAGTAAACTAACAAGATAATTATACAGTGTTCCTAAGCAAACTAATATGATGATAATAAAATTTTTCTAAGTAAACTAACAAGATAATAATACAATGTTCCTAAGTAAACTACTAAGTAAACTAGCAAAATAATTAAACATTTCTAAGCAAACAAGCAAGATAATTATACAATTTTCCTAAGTAAAACAGCAAGATAATTGTATAGTGTTCATAAGTAAACTAACAAGATAATTATACAATATTTCTAAGCAAACAAGCACGATAATTATACAATGTTCCTAAGTAAAGAAGTGAATTAATTATACATTTCTAGGTAAAGAAGCAAGATAATGAGTCTCACCTTAAGATACTGACTTGGGGTGAATTTACAAGAAATATCAAGGCTGTGACTGCCTTCTGTCCACTCATCCGCTTCCTTTATGCTGGTATTCCCCATTCTCTCTTGTTCTCGACTATGCTACTCTGTCTTCTTTCTGATTATGAAACACCAAAAATAGTTTAAAAGAAAAAAGGTGATTGAATTTAATTGTGTCATTTAATACAATTAGGACAAAGGCTGGTCAGAGTGCCAGTAGTGATGGATTTTAACAATTATGCAGCAGTTTTCAATTAAGATAAGATACGATAAGATAAGATTTCGTTCGGATTTTTAACCCTGGAGGGTTAGCCACCCAGGATAACCCAAGAAAGTCAGTGCGTCATCGAGGACTGTCTAACTTATTTCCATTGGGGTCCTTAATCTTGTCCCCCAGGATGCGACCCACACCAGTCGACTAACACCCAGGTACCTATTTGCTGCTAGGTGAACAGGACAACAGGTGTAAGGAAACGTGTTGAAATGTTTCCACCCGTCGGGAATCGAACCCGGACCCTCCGTGTGTGTAAGTAAGTTTATTCAGGTATACACAAATACAGTTACATAGAATTATCATACATAGCATATGTGTAGAGAGCCTAGGATAACCCAAAAAAGTCAGACAGAGTGACTTATTTCCATTGGGGTCCTTTTACCTTATTATTATAATATAAAGGCTATAATATTTTCTTATTATTCTATAATGAAGATAACATCTTATTATCATACTAAAAAGACTATCTACAATACGAGGGTCATTACTAGGAATAAGGTAAAATTTACACGTATGTTAGCTAAAAAATAGAAAATCATTCCCCTCCCTTTCTGTAGCTACATTCATCAGACACCTTTTGGCACTCTTCTTGAACTGGTTCATGTTATGACTGGCTTTGACATGTGCAGGCAGTCTGTTCCATTCCTTTATTGCTGTACAATAAAAGGTGTTTGAAGCCTGGCCAATGACTGTGGGTACTACAAAGTTGTGCTCTCTCCCCCTAGTACTATGATTGTTGTCTCCCCCTAGTACTATGATTGTTGTCTCCCCCTAGTACTATGATTGCTTTGGTTCCCAACCTTGACAAAATTGACAGCAAGATATTCTGGACACTGTTTGTGAGCAATTTTATAAACATGATTTAGCTTCAGTTGTTTTACTCTGTCTTCAACATTCAGCATATCCAACTGCTGTAATTCATTCTGGCCTACATGTTCTCTTGGTCCCAGCCCCAGGATGAATCTTACGATTTTGTTCTGGGTGATTTGCAGTCTATCTTTCAGTTTTTTTGTCAAGGCAGAGTACCATGAAGAGCAAGCGTAATCCATAGGGCTAGACATAGGGTCCTGCGAGCCTCAGTAGGTAGACACTGTGCCTCAGTAGGTAGACACTGTGTCTCAGTAGGTAGACACTGTGCCTCAGTAGGGAGACACTGTGCTTGTCTATACAGGAACTTCAGTCTGGCATTCACTTTCTTTACTACACTGTTCCCTATCAATTCTCCTGACATGCATGGGTCAAAGGGGATTCCCAGATATTTTACTGATGAAACCAAAGTGATGGGCTCCCCATTACACTGGACATCAAAATTAGTGTGAAGCGAGAGCTTTAGCCACCAGGCCACCAGGCTAACGTGACGGTCTGGAGTTTTGAGACTCTCTGACCGCGGGTTCAAATGCCGCCCGTGGTATGGTTTATTCAGACTTCCTATAATAAATATATTCACCACTCATTATAAGCTAAGAACAAAAATATTTTAAGGTAAGTAATGTGTGTAGTGAATATTCATTTTTTAGGCCTAGTTCTATTGTTCACTTGCAGCGCTGTATAGCCCTTGTGGCTTAGCGCTTCTTTTTGATTATAATAATAATATATGTTCACTTAATATATGATAGTGTAAACATGTTATTAAATTTATGGTGATTTTTGCTTTACAGCAGTAGCCCGGAACCTGACCTGACCTGACCTGACCTGACCTTCCTGTATATTACTGAATGACAAAGTCATTTAGTAAGAAATTCAATACATAATTTCATTTTTTACAGTTATCCAGTATAGTCCTTGTGGCTTAGTGCTTCTTTTGATTTATAATAATAATAATACAGTTATCTGGGTTAAAGCTACAAATTTTATCATTTTTTGTATTACTAACAAATGTATGCGTGTCCTGAGAGCCCAAAATGCCCGGGAAATGTTAGTTGCTTTCTTTGTACTTAACAACATTTTTTAAATGTAAATAATCATCGTAAACTTTGCAAAAAAAAAATTGTATTTTGTGTAAAATCTATAATCATTACATTAAATGGGGAGCTCCAAACTCGTAGGGATCATATTGCATCTGAGGGGAATGGGAGGCATTTAGGTTCAATGTAGGAAGGGGGGGAAACAGTTCACTTCTTGGATCAAGACCCCTATATAAATCAAGGTTCTCAAGTTACTCAAAGCCGAAAAACAAGTCGGCAGTATTTTACATTTAAAGAATGAAGGCAATCATGTTTGATCCGGGAAGAGGAAGGAGATGAACAGGTCCCTTCCATGGATCAAGAGCCATCATTGATATCAAGGCTCTCATTTGAGGGAAAAAAATACTAAACCAGAAAAAAAGCCAGACAGTAGTTATTTAAAAAAATGAATAAAGGGAAACCATTTTAAAATCCAAGGGAGGGGAATGAAAAAGGCACTTCCAAGATCAAGAGCCATCATGATATCAAGGCACCTCACTGAAAAAATAAGAATACCCGAAGGCCAGCAAAACATTTACTAAATACACTTATGAATTTAAGACAATCAGGTTTGATCCGAGGAAAGGAAGAACAGGGCCACCTCCTTGAATCAAGAGCCCCTCACCCATATCAAGGCATCTCCTTGAGAGGGAAGAATTTAAATTTCTCTCACCATCTGCCACCATTCAATGTTTACAAAATAACCGTCCAGTAAAATAAGTTCACTCACACATCAACTAAATTCATCCCTTCTTATTCAAAAATATTCATAATAATTAAGACAAAAATACATTTATATGAAAATAAAATACTATTATTAACTTATTACATAATCTTTTTTACTAGAAGTTTCATTTGACATAATTTATAATTGCTATCATTTTGCTGAATATTTGTTATGTTGGTATTGGCTTGAGGGGCTACGAGCCTCCAGCACCTGCTGTTGGAGGGCTACGAGCCTCCAGCACCTGCTGTTGGAGGGCTACGAGCCTCCAGCACCCGCTGTTGGAGGGCTACGAGCCTCCAGCCACCTGCTGTTGGAGGGCCCACGAGCCTCCAGCACCTGCTGTTGGAGGGCATACGAACCCCCAGCACCTGCTGTTGGAGGGCTACGAAACCCCCCAGCACCTCTGTTGGAGGGTACGAGCCTCCAGCACCTGCTGTTGAGGGCTACGAACCTCCAGCACCTGCTGTTGGAGGGCTACGAGCCTCCAGCACCTGCTGTTGGAGGGCTACGAACCTCCAGCACCTGCTGTTGGAGGGCTACGAACCTCCAGCACCTGCTGTTGGGGGCTTTCGAGCCTCCAGCACCTGCTGTTGGAGGGCTACGAACCTCCAGCACCTGCTGCTGGAGGGCTACGAGCCTCCAGCACCTGTGCTGGAGGGCTACGAGCCCCAGCACCTGCTGCTGGAGGGTTACGAGCCCCCAGCACCTGCTGTCGGAAGGCTACGAGCCTCCAGCACCTGCTGTTGGAGGGCTACGATCCTCCAGCACCTGCGCTGGAGGCTACGATCCTCCAGCACCTGCTGCTGTAGGGCTACGAGCCTCCAGCCCCCTGCTGTTGGAAGGCTACGAGCCTCAGCACCTGCTGTTGGAGGGCTACGAAACCTCCAGCACCTGCTGTTGGGAAAGGGTACGAGCCTCCAACACCTCTGTTTTAGGGCTACGAGCCTTCAGCACCTGCCCGTTGGAGGGCTACGAGCCTCCAGCACCTGCTGCTGGAGGGCTACGAGCCTCCAGCACCTGCTGTTGGAGGGATACGAGAATCCAACACCTGCTGTTGGAGGGCTACCTCCAAACACCTGCTGTTGGGGGGCTACGAGCCTCCAGCACCTGTTGATGGAGGGCAACGAGCCTCCAGCACCTGCTGTTTGAGGGCTACGAACCTCCAGCACCTGCTGTTGGAGGGCTATGAGCCTCCAGCGCCTGCTGTTGGAGGGCTATGAGCCTCCAGCACCTGCTGCTGGAGGGCTACGAGCCTCCAGCACCTGCTGTTTGAGGGCTACGAGCCTCCAGCACCTGCTGTTGGAGGGCTACGAGCCTTCAGACCTGCTGCTGGAGGGCACGAGCCTCCAGCAAACCCGCTGTTTGAGGGCTACGAGCCTCCAGCACCGGTGTTGGAGGGCTACGAGCCTCCAGCACCTGCTGCTGGAGGGTACGAGCCTTCAGCAAACCTGCTGTTTGAGGGCTACGAGCTTCAGCACCTGCTGTTGGAGGGCTACGAGCCTCCAGCACCTTGCCAGGAGCGGTACATAGGGGACTTTAACACCTCGTTAACATTGGTTCGTGGCAGGGTTTTAATTTTCGTTGAAATTGGCCCCACCCCGCGTCCCCTGCCCCAAATAATTTCTCATTGTTCAAAATTTTCCCCAAAT